TTCTATGAACGAAAGTAAAATTCAAAAATATATTATTATTATTATTAAAATTATTATTATTATTATTATTACTATTATTGCCATATTTTTTTTTTTTTTTTTTTTTTTTTTTTTTTTTTTTTTTTTTAATCATAGTCACTTTAACACTCTTGGGTCATTCGTGACTTGTCCGGGGGTGAGATTTGAACTCGTGACTCGTGACGTGGGTCGCCCCCGATTTTATTGCCATAAAAACTAAACTGAACTGATAGGATAAATGACGGCTTTGGCAGACAGTGACTGTTATCGGCAAACAAAATTATTACGTAAAATTCTCTGGATTTTCACGCAACACTTAGTACTGTTTTAGTTTCAATTTGATTCACTTTTTATGACGCATATCGCATTGTACCAAATTTTTCATGAAATTAATCATACAAAGTGTTTAAAGAAAGAGAGAAGGATTAGTAATTTCCATTTAATTCCACTACCTTAATTGCTTTCTTCACAAATGCGCATATTGCGTCTACAATGTGCAGGTAGTGGAATTAATTGAAAATAACTAATCTTTCTCTCTTTCTTTAAGCAGGTATTCCACACAGTTCTAAAAAGTAGTGTAAATTTATGTTCAATATGATTCACATGAATGGAGCGTCACATATCATATAAGTTTACATTATATATCATGTAAAGTTGTGAGACATTTCATTCAATGTAGCAAATATTGTATACAAAAGCCCATTGTTATAAACAACATTGTTTACAAGTTTCTCGGTTGCGTGAAATTAAATAAAAATTTACGTGAATTAATGTTTTCATCACTTTTAAAATTCAGAATTTTTATCCGTGCACCATAGACGCTAATATCGAGTTACTGATAATAAAACAGCTGTTCAACACGCAGTTCAAATATAAAGACTGTCAAATAGGTTATCGACAATAGTGACACTCAACTGGGAATTTTAAAGCGCTACCCAACTAACAAATTTTCACAAAGTAAACGCTTTTCTCATTTCATTTATACAGCCACAAGCTACACACTTAGAAAAATTCATGTCAATTCAGGTGCTCTGAGACTGACATATACGAGCGACTCTCTTTTCAGTCTCAGAGCACTTAATTTTACATTACATGTTTGTTAACGTCTCATCCTTTATGTCAAAGATGGATTCCGTCACGTGTGTATATTAAAATGTTTTACGATATGAGACAATGTTTACTCAACCTCCATACAAGCAAATCTAGGGAACTACTTATGGCTGAAGAAGACGGCGATTCAGCAAACCAAAACTGAGACTCTCCGGCATTTTCACGCACTCACACTCACATCGCCAAAATTTCATTTCACCATAAATACCAATCATACGTTAAAAGATTACATGCCCAGACAACCAGAATGCACGTATATTCAAAGTTGTTTTCGTGATATACAAACATATATACAAACAAACAAGTCGTATAGAATGCAAATAAATGGCTTATACGAAAGTGGAGGCCATATACGTGCATATTTTCGTTTAATTTTAAACGAGTTGATTTAACATCATATGCGATTTGATCTGTAATAACAAATCCATTTTGAAAAGTCTTACGATGTAATCCGATTAAATTTGTGATACAGTACGACGGAAAAATGAGTCATCGCATATAAGTCGGAAATTTGCATTCTATACGATTTAACTTAAACATAATGCAAGGTATGCCATTCTAATATGCGATTTTGACTGACTGTAGCAATTTACGATACTGTCTGTACATTGTTATACGACTTCTGGTTGTCTGGGTGCACATTTAGAGCAATGAAAAAATTAAAGTATAAAGCAATAAATGGTATAGTGGTAAGCATGACTGCCTCTCACTCCAAAGGGCCTGGGTTCAATCCCAGTCGGAGCCGTCGAGATATGCTGAGGAATCTCTGATCACGTAAAGCCGTTGATGACCGGTCCATTAGTTGATGGGTCGATAGATAGGGTCCAGGTGTGGGAGCTGCCTCCCTGGCGTCGAAAGCATTTCGTTTCGTGAATTTCACGGAATACGTTTGTTGAAAAAAAAAATCCGTTTCGTTTTGTATCGACCTTAAAAAATCTCATATCGCATAGCCTTAGCGCTAACTGATGCAGATCATACAACTAATTGCCAAATACATTAGGATTGTACTAAAGCTAAACGTTTTTTTCCGCTAACTGTACCAATAGACTGATGCAAAATTTGATATTTTCGCTCCACAGTGCTCAAACGGTTTCAAATCAGGTCCTGATAAGCCTCCCAAAATTTAAACTCATTTGGTTAGAAACAGACTTGGCACAAACTATTCGAAGTTTATATGGAAATTACTATGGGAAAACCAAACTTTCTGTTCATTGTCTTCTACCAATTTTCCATATTGTTTTTCGAAAATTGCAATAATTATTCTTACGGGAAATTTTCTAAGCTACAACTTTGCGGAACATCGTTTTTCAGTCAAATGTCAAATCAAAATGTTATTAATTCTTTAAGAGATTGATAATCTTATGGCATGATCAAGCAGCTGTTCTGTGGGCAACACTGTATTGTGCAGTGTGACATAGTAGCCATGATATTTGTGTTCTATTTTTCGCACCAGAAGTACCAATGTTGCCTGCTGAACAGTTGAATGAGCACAATTATAATACATCAGTGGCTTGAATCATTAATAACTTTTGTTCCTTACTTTTGATTGAAAAGTGATTTTCACCAAAGTTGTAGCTGAGAAAATTTTCTACAATCACTGCTATGATTTTTAAAAGCATAGTGATGTGGTGAATTGTTAGATAGATATGAACAAAAACATAAGTTTTCCCATAGTAATTCCCATATAAACATGAAATGGTTTGTGCCAAGTCAGTTTCTTACTAAAGTAGTTCAAATTTTGGGAGGCTAACCAGGACCCGATTTGGAACCGTTTAAGCACTGTGGAGCGAAAAAGCGAAAATTGTCTACTGTACCAAGTTTCATTTTAAGGGCGCTTATAAGTTTTGCAATACTATAATTTTACGAAAAGCAGGGATGGATCGCTCTTTGGAGCATCGTGCACTACTTTTTGATATGGAAAGCTAACGTTGAGTCCAATTAAAGTTTCAGTTAATCCATATTAAAATAAATAGATTCATGCTAGTATTCTCCCGTTCAAACTAAAAAAAAACGCAGATGGCTCAACGTCTGTGTTTTCACTGAATATTCACTAAAGAGTGCACTTGCACTTCAGTGAAACACACAGAGTGCAGTAAATGGGGGTGACATTATGACATTATTGTCGTTCTCTTCCCTACAACATTCACATTTCAACAAGAAAAACAATTTTAAGCATTTGAATATATTCATGAATGATATTTTTGCAACTGTCATCCAATTGTTAATTGAAATTGATATTTCATTTTACTGATATTAAATATAAAAATAGACCAATGAATAACCTTATGTGGGGTGACTTATATTTAACTATGGACATTTTTAAAAACGTGTTTTCACTACTATTTATGATACTTAACTGAACAGCACTATTTAAATAAAACAACCGGTTAATGTTATCAACTCTTTACTCCAGGAGTTCAAAGAACATATTCTAGTGATCTTCTTCTTATTTCTAGCATTTCAAGCTTATTGCGTATGGCATGTTAGCTTATTGCGTGCTCACAACTTAGTGTTCTAGATGCACTTTCACGGTTATTAATTGAGAGCTTTCGATGCCTGTACCATTTTTGCATTGGTATGATTGTGTGGCAAGCACAATCATACTCTATATGCCCAAGAAAGTCGAGACATTTTCCAACCCGAAAAATTCCTAGACCGGACCGGGAATCAAACCCAGCCACCTCCAGCATGGTCTTGCTTTGTAGCTGTGCGTTTACCGACTGAGCTAAGGGAGTGATCATTTTCTGCATATTCAAGATATTTGCATCAATAAACATTTTTCAATTTTGGACCAATGCACCCCGTCTTACGGTATTGCAAAACTTTTAACCGACCGACGAATGAAACTTAATACAGTTAGCGGAATTCCAGTTCAGTGATAATAAAACTAAAAATCTTTCACTTGGAAAACGATAAGTGTATAGTCAAATTATTGCATGATCTAGGCCACCAAATATTAACCAAAACTAATTATGGATTTGTTTCCTATGGTAATCGTAAAAATTCAAATATGTTTCAAAATTGCGATCTCATTTTTACTATTTAAAAAATAAAAATGCAAAAACTAGATCTAAACTAATTGCAGTATTAGGGCATGCTAAACATGAATATTTCACTTTACAAGAGCTCAAATCATTGCATTAATCATTGTGTGTCTAATGAATATGGTATGTCAAGAACTCACTGTCGAATATCTGCTTACAATTGAACAGAATATCATGCAATCACAGTTTCTAATGAAACAGCAATGATCCGATTTTAGCAACAGGTCTCCAATGCTTTTAGTTTGCCTGTAATATGCACTTAAAAACATCATACACTATTAAATATTTTCCATTGACTATTCAGGTACTAGGTTAGAATGGAGGTATGCAATTAAATAAATTTATGGAAAGTTAAAATTAAAACAATTAGTGTTGCCTAAATCGGATCCTTACTGTACCAAGAACAAAAAACTATACGAAATAACCAGTATCAAACCTAGGTTAATTGCCTTCTGCTAATCACGCACTTTACTTTTTTTAGTACGTGATTAGTGGAACGTAATAAAACAACGTTTCTCATTTCGAACTAATTCCATGCCATTAAAACTATCACGCTCTAATCTTGATTTGAATGAGTACATAAAATGTGTGTCTTTTGATTGAACACTGTAATCACAAGCCTCTAGGATCGATCCATAATCACAACTGTCATCACATTCACAATCACATTTACGATATGCGCATGTCACATACCAACCACGCAACATATTACGAGGGTTTACTTGAAAATGACATTTCATTTAACTCGCGTGTATAAATCATAAATAACTCCACTTTCAGGTTCCGACACGCGCCGGAGGCCACGCTACCGCAAATAATCTTACTTACCCAACGCGGCATAACTCAGCCCCAAGTTCAATATCACCAACAACCCGGTAATGTACAGCGACTGCATGATGCTGGATCGCGTGCGATTTTCTGTCGACCTGTGTCCGCGATTTGCTCTCTTTCACTCTCACTCTAATCACGTACTGGGGCAACTGCTTTTTTGTTCACTTCCCCTAACACCAGACAATTCTGAGATGCACGTCGTGAAAAATCACTGCCAAGATCAACCACGGCTACCGGCTCGCATCAACTGGTTATTGGCGCGTTTGACTTGCTAGGACCTTTTCCACCGCTACCTAGTTATTGCCGTAATAGCTGTCAACGACGCCGACTAACTCGACTGACTTGGTTTCCGAAAAGGATTTTCCGGCAAACCCTTACTTTTAGATAACACAAAAATCAACAAGTGCAAAGTCGACGTCGAAGGAACTGATAGGGGGAAGCCGCCGGACGCCAGCCAAAATGCTGCTAACCAAACCGTCTAATTACTGAAACCGAACTGATCTATGAACGATCTGGCCGGGCCAGTTTTATATGTACCTGCGGCGGCAGCAGCGTCGGCGTCGCGTCGGTTAGAACGATCGATCGATCTGGGGTTCTTCGCGTGGTTTTGCACTCGCCATCGATATGTCGGGTTCTAGCTGATGCGGCGGCGATCGAACACGAGGAGCGTTAGAATCGGTTAGAATGGTTGGTTCGGTCGGTCTTCATTAGAGTCGGTAGTGTGGATGAAACATTTTCGTGTAGGTAATCAGATTGGGGAATGGTATAGGGACTTCCGTAGAGCGGGATGATTAGGTGTTTCATGGGGATGAACTAGCCCAGAAGTGGCTATAAATTATCCTTATGAAGCTTTAACACTACGAACACGATGCCTCCGGTAAAATGTGTAACGGCAAGCTTGCAATGTTTGAAAAATCATAGCTCAGCCACGACAAATTTCAAATCTATTGGTGCCATTTGCAACTACATAGAGGAAATGGACGTAATGTCGGCCTAAATGTCCCTAATTTGGACCCGTACATAAATTCAGCAATCGACTAAATTTTCAAAAGCGTACAAAAATATCCATTAGTACCGTCCCAATGACGCGTTCATCTAGATAAAATTGATAAATAGCAGATTTTTAGCGATGGGCCATATCTTAGATCCATAGGCCAACATTAGAGCCATTTACCATACTTTAAAAAAATATTCGGTGTCAATAGATTTAAAATTCTTTTCAAACATTTCCAATTTGCCGTTATGCATTTTACCAGAGACATCGTGTTCGGAGTTTAAAAAAAAAAGATGATTAAGTGTTATCGTGATTGATTTTTCAGCTGATTATATGGTACATCAGGTTCTCCAAATAAAAGTCACCCAATTATGTTTACATTATTTCGATTTCCCTTTCCCTTAAGGTCTGTTCAAGTTTTAAAATGGATACACACTTTCATTCCCAACTTTTTTATTTGACTACTTAACTTAATATTTCTTCAGCAAGTTTTAACCTCGACTCATAAATAACATAGATAAAATAATGAACAGTATTTTGCAATTGTATCATCCCAGATATTTTTAGTTGAGTTCTTCTAAAAAATGATACACACCAACTAAAAGAAATATGAATTTTCTATGTGTTTGTACGATTTGGCATTATTTTAGTTCCAGTTTACAATTTTTTTTTCCTTGATTTGTTTTTCATCGATCTTGTTTTCCGTGCTGATCACCAATGCTACCGACGCCAGGGAGGCAAATTCCACATCTGGACCCTACTTATAGACCCATCAACTCATGAACCGGGGACCAACGGCTTTACTTCCCTTCCGAAGGAAGGCGTGATCAGAGATGTTATGCCACAGAAAATCCCGGCGGCGCCGACTGGGATTAAACCTAGGCCTGCTGGGATGAGAGGTAATCACGCTTACCACTACACCACCGGCGTCGCTACGTTTACAACTTTGAAAAATAGTTATAATATCTCAAAAATTGTGATACCTCCTAATACCGTAAGTTAAAGCTATTCAAAACAGTTTTCTTTAAATTTGAATTGAATATACACATTTGAAATACATAAAATAAATTTCGTTCTGATTATTTTGTTGTCGAATGTAAATGATAGGATTCTTTACCTAAAGAGTTCTACGTAATTAAACAGAGGATCTCAGAAAAGAATATTTAAATCTATAGAAAACAAATTATGGGAACGGCCCATACAAATTTTAAAATTTTTATATGTACAATTGTCTAAACATCGGGAGGGGGGGAGGGGTTAAGAATACCAAAAAACTGTCTACGTAGTTAATGAACAGCCCCTAAAATAATACTGTTATCAAATAAAAAGCAGCTCACGCGACCACCAACGATCGACCAAAACAATCTGTGGGCAGTGTTGCGATATAATGTTAAAAAAAAGTTGATGCATTGTTTAATACTCATATTGTTCGTTTAACTCGTATAACTTAAATTATGCACTCATAATGCTTAAAAACAAACAAATAATGTTGAAAACATAAATGACCTATGTAACTGTGATTATAACAAAACGTCCTATACAACATGTCCAATGTACACCTGACAAGAGCAAAATGTCCTATGTAACATTTTTCACGTTTTCATAGAAAAAAAATGTATGAAACGGGTAGATTATAATTTCAATTTAAATTTTACTATCGCATTTTACTATTAAAGGTCTTAAAAATGTCAAAAGTTGATTTGGTTTAAAATAGTATCAAAAAAGATTTTGTCAATCTTCAACCTCGTTTTTCTCGAAAAGAGTGAAATCTTAGCTACACAGCAAAAAAAAATGTAATATCGATCAATGTAATTCAAGCTGATGTATGAAATAATGATGTAATAGCAAAAAGCAGATACAATATTACATCAATGGATGTAATTTTGTTCGCAAAATCATGTAAATCGTACAACGTTATTTTACACAACCGATGGATTGACCTGGTTGCAGCAGTTTGGATGTAATATTCAACAACATTTTTTTCTGTGTAGGACATTTTGAAAAGTTAGGCGAGAATTTATGCATGGTGTTGGTTAAGGAATGCCGAGAAGCTTTTATTTGACTTCCATGAGTTGTAACAGAGCTTATTCGATCAAATTTTTGATTATTCAGCGTTTATTAGACATCATTGTTTACTTCAACAGTGTTACTGTATACTTACCTTACCAATCAGGCTAAGGCCTTGTTGTCCTCTGCTGTCCGAAGAAGTCGTCTCCACTCTACTCGATCCATGGCCACAGTTCGCCAGCCTCGTAGTCTGCGAAGGGTCCGCAGGTCACCTTCTACTTGGTCGATCCACCTTGCCCGCTGCGCGCCTCTTCTTCTTGTTCCTGTTGGGTCGCTTTCTAGAACCATTTTCACTGGGTCGTCGTGCGGCATTCTTACGACGTGCCCAGCCCACCGTAGTCGCCCAATTTTTGCAATGTGGACGATGGATGGTTCTCCCAGCAGCTGGTGCAATTCGTGGTTCATTCGCCTCCTCCACGTTCCGTCATCCATCTGCACTCCACCGTAGATGGTACGCAACACCTTCCGTTCGAAAACACCAAGGGCGCGTTGGTCCTCCACGAGCATAGTCCAGGTCTCGTGGCCGTAAAGGACCACCGGTCTAATCAGCGTCTTGTAGACAGTCAACTTCGTGCGGCGGCGAATTTTATTCGACCGGAGCGTCCTCCGGAGTCCAAAGTAGGCACGATTCCCTGCCATAATGCGTCTTTGAATTTCTCTGCTGGTATCATTTTCGGCGGTCACCAGTGAGCCCAAATACACGAACTCATCGACCACCTCGATTTCGTCACCGTCAATCTGAACTCGGGGTGGGAGGCTAACATTGTCTTCCCTAGAACCTCTTGCTTTCATATATTTTGTCTTTGATGCGTTGATGGCAAGTCCAATCCGTCTAGCTTCAGCCTTCAGTCTGATGTACGTTTCCGCCATCATCTCAAAGTTCCGTGCCATAATGTCAATGTCATCGGCGAAACCAAGGAGCTGGATGGACTTCCTGAATATCGTGCCACTCGTGTCTATCCCAGCTCTTCTGATCACACCTTCTAACGCGATGTTGAACAGCAGACACGAAAGTCCATCACCCTGCCGTAACCCCCTTCGAGATTCAAAGGGACTCGAGAGTGTCCCCGATACTCGAACAACGCACGTCACTCGATCCATCGTCGCCTTGACCAATCGCGTCAGTTTATCCGGAAATCCGTACTCGTGCATAATCTGCCATAGCTGATCTCGATCGATTGTGTCGTATGCGGATTTGAAATCGATGAACAAATGATGTGTGGGCACGTTGTATTCGCGGCATTTCTGCAGAACCTGCCGAATCGCGAAAATTTGGTCCGTGGTAGCGCGGGCACCCATGAATCCCGCCTGGTATTGCCCCACGAACTCTCTTGCATATGGTGACAGACGGCGGCATAGAATTTGGGAGAGTACCTTGTAGGCGGCGCTCAGCAGTGTGATCGCGCGGTAGTTGCAGCAATCCAACTTGTCGCCCTTTTTGTAAATTGGGCATACGACACCTTCCATCCACTCCTCCGGTAATATCTCCTCCTCCCAAATCTTGGCAATTACCCAGTGCAGCGCTCTAGCCAGTGCTTCACCACCGTATTTCAATAGCTCACTTGGTAGTTGATCTACACCAGTTGCTTTGTTGTTCTTCAGCCGACCGATCTCCTCCTCAACTTCTTGAAGATCAGGGGCCGGTAGCCTGTCGTCTTCTGCGCGTGCTCCAAGGTCTGTTGCCGTGCCACCTTCGTTTTCTGCTGCTTCACCGTTGAGGTGCTCGTCATAGTACTGCTTCCACCTCTCAATCACCTCACACTCGTTCGTGAGAAGGTTACCGTCCAAGTCCTTGCACATATCGGCTTGCGGCACGTAGCCTTTGCGCGAACTATTTAGCTTCTCGTAGAACTTCCGTGTGTCGTTTACGCGGTACAGATTTTCCATCGCCTCGCGATCTCGATCTTCCTGCTGACGCTTCTTCCTTCGGAAAACCGAGTTTTGTCTGTTCCGCGCTTGTCTGTATCGCTCCACATTCAATCTCGTGCGGTGTTGCAGCATTCTCGCCCGTGCTGCATTCTTCTCCTCTACTAACAGTTTGCATTCGCCGTCAAACCAGTCATTTCTTCGGTCCGGGATTGCAGTACCTAGTGCCGCTACAGCAGTACTACCTATGGCTGAACGGATGTCCCTCCAGCCATCTTCAAGAGAAGCTGCGCCAAGCTGCTCTTCCGTGGGTAGTGCAACTTCCAGCTGCTGCGCGTAGTCCTGGGCAACTCCGGTGTCCCGTAGTTGCTCAATGTTGGGTCGTGGCGTTCGACTTCGACGTGTGTTATGCACCGTCGAGAGTTTTGAGCGCATGCATACTGCAACTAGGTAGTGGTCCGAATCTATGTTCGCACTGCGGTACGTGCGGACGTTGATAATGTCGGAGAAGAATTTCCCGTCGATTAGAACGTGATCGATTTGGTTTTCTGTGTGTTGGTCAGGTGATCTCCAGGTGGCTTTGTGGATAT